AATCTGACTCAATTCGCCGAAGTCTACACCTAATGCTAGCTAGATTCCACAAGTAGCTAGTTCAGCAAAAAAGGAACTGAGTCTGCACGCAAAAGCTTCAGAGCAAAAACAAAAATTAGAATTACATGAATACACCCCTATAAGATAACCAAGTCAAAATGACATGGCAATTTCTTACCTCAGGGAAACATATACGCAAATATAGTAGGAGAGCTGAAAAGAAGCTTTGATAATGCTTGGGAATAACAATCAAGTTCTCCAACTGTGGTAAAACAATATTCAGGTACTTAGTACTTCAAGGTTAAATCGACAAGAAGGGGGGCATTAATAACACAAAAATGTGTGGTTGGCTCAAAGGTTATTCCTTCCAAATGAAGAGTTATAAGATTCTCAAAGCCAAGAAAAGAATTTGGTTGTTTGAAGACGAGTTTTATATCTGTCAGGGTTGGACAATTAACGAGACTGTTAAAATATGATTTCTTGCATTTATATTCCTACAAACCAATAATATGATGATTTTACGGGAAAAAAAAAAAGAAGCTTTAGAATGTGTTCCTTTTACTAATATTGTTCACACTAGCATTCAAATGGAAATCTCAGAAGAGAAAAACTTATGATCCCTCCATTTCTTTCCTCTTATGAACCAAACAACCAAAGTGAAATATTTTCATTTTCTCTTCTTATCCATTCTCTCCTTGGTTGTTACCAAACAGGTATTAGAAATGCAAATGAAAGGACGGCTAATCTTATCACATACATCATTACAACTGAACCTCCAAAACATCTAATGAAGAACAAATATATAAAATGAGCAGTATTTTATCCTGATTGAAGGGCACAAGAAGCAAAAAAACTTGCATCGGCTCTATAAAAGAGTAAGATAGGAGCAGGAGAAAAAGAATCAGTTTCGTGTTGCAGGCTCAGACTCTAAAACAAGAGGATTTCCAGGCCACCAACTGGTAAAGTTAAGATGAGAGTTATTCTAATAGGATCAATATCAATTGTATATCTTCCTTGTCGAGATTAATCTCTCCCAAAGCACGTTGCTAATGCTGTCCAACTGATGCATAAATTGACGATGTCCACGTGCAATATTTGATATATGTATCCAAAAGGGATTTTAAGAGAACAAAAAAGAAGTTAAGATACTCTAGTCAACAAATTCAATGTACAAACAGGGGATATTCATCTGTTTGTTACAGTTCAACTTGAATCTGACCATTAGTTGAACCAAACAAGGTTATCATTTATTAATCTACTTATTGTTGTTAAAAACATTGTAACGACTTCCTGAGACAGATTCACTGATAGAATATATTGATGCCTTGTTTGTGGATCTATCAACGGAGTTTCATTTGTTATTGGCCCTTTTGGTGAATTTATTATCCAGCTGCTTAGATCTCACAAGGCTTTTGAATATACACACTCCTTATCAGTAAATAAGGATCATCTAATTGTGGCTAATGGAGAAATCTGCAGATAGTGACATCTCTAATGAGAAATTAAAAATCTATTCCACATTTGGCAAATACAATAAGGGAACCCCACAAGTTTCAACAAAATTGCCAATTTAGAAAAGATGAAGCATCAATCTGCCTTACTAGCCTCAAACCACAGATCAGCTGGTTTAAAAGCCTAATCTGCATTTGGTAAATAGTTTCTCATGTTTATATATATACATAACCACGTGTACCCTTCTTACCCAAATATCAAATTAGAGGAACCCCTAATTAGCTGTAGCGTGAAGGAAGTCTGATCCAATTTGCCAAAGTCTATACTTAACGATAGAACCCACACGCAGCGGAGCACAACAGGAAGCCCCTTAGGAACTGTGTGTGCACTCAAAAGCTTTGGAGCAAATACAATAATTAGAATCACAGGAATAATATCCCTACAAGATATCCAAGTAAAACTACATATCAATTTCTTACCTCAAGGAAAAATAAATCCAATTGAAGTGTAGGCAACCTAAGAAGCTTTTCCAGAGTTGATCTCTCACCATATTTTTGATAACCAACAAACCTGCCTAAAAGTACTAGTTTAACCAAATTTTTGCAGTTTGTAAAGCAATTTAGCTCTAGATGGAGACTCTCATAAACAACCAAGTACTTCAACCGTGATGCAACAATGTTCAGGTATTGAGTGCCAAGACAGTACTTCAAGGTCAAACTGACAAGAAGGGGGGCTTTTATTTTTTCCAGATAGAGGTTAGTAAGTTTCTGAAAGCCAAGAAAAGAAGTTGGTGGTTTGAAGACACAATTGAAGAGTTTCAAATGTCTCAGTGTTGGACAATCAAATATATAAGAAGGTAGCTTGTAAGTATTATTATTTGACATGTCAAGAGTTAGCTCCTTGACACCGTTTCTGTCCATCTATCAACAAATGTATTTGAAGGCAAATGTGTTGCTGAAACATCAAGATCAAACTTCACAATGTCTCCAATATGCTGTAACAAAATCTCATCTACTGTTTCTTTGAAGACAGGTTGAGACTTTACAGCCATTTTGTTTTTGCAAAAGTGCTTATCCAGCATCAAAGTTGGAAGCATGGCCCAAATATATCTCCATTTTTTTGACAAAATACTAGTTCTAGCAGCGTCTTGAACCGGCAAGAACTCAAGGATACAGTCTAAAATGTTTCTTGGTAGACGACTGAGTATCTTCTGTATCCTCTTCCACAACAGCTCTTTTACTATCTGTTAAAAGAAGTAGACGAATCTTAGGCTTAAAGCTAATAATCCCAAAAGAAAAGAAAAGAGAGAATTTATACCTTGGGACATGCTGATTTTAACGTTAATTAGACTACTACTACTATATATATTGCTTATAGTGTCTCTACTTTTATCCATCAAAAGTCACAATAAATAAGAGTAATTAGTTCTTGTACCTGATCAACAGAATCAATCTTCAAATACACTGTTCTATAATGAAATGTATTTGTATTTTCTATGCATAATAATTAGTGCGTGAAAAGACATTTAATACAAACATTCATTAAGAATATATGGATATATCCAAATACGTGGAGTATAACCTAGTTAATCCATTATAATAATAAGAGTCAAATCCATTTTAACCTTTCGGGGTTGGGAAACAATACCTCCTTCATGTTTTGAATGGGAAAGGGAACCCTTTGTGCAATAGCTTTCTCGTAAAACAATTTTTTTTAATAAAAATCTTTTTTTCCAATAGATAATTTTTTGAATAACCAAGTTCTTTCATTATAGCCAAAAGCAAGATATAACAAACAATTAGGATCTATATAATTTATGGAGTTTCCCTTTAGCCTTCTTCCCGCATAGTTTAAGATATGATGTAGTGCAAAAATGCCTCCATAATAAATTTTCAAATGTGACATTATCCACTATAATTCTTGTTCAATAAAGATATTTTCTTTTTTTTTGTCGAAATAAGTAAAGTTTAAAAATAAAGATATTATCAAAAAAGTAAAGTTTAATAATGGCTTTAGTATAATAATTTTAATATATAAAGAAAATACATAAATAAATTAATACTCATAGCAGCAATTCTTCCGTCTAATATATATGTTAGAGGATTGACTATTTCAGTGTATCTTTTTTTCTTTCAAATTGAATTAATGCTAAAGCATCCATGGTGAATGTGCGTTCATCATATTTCTTGAATTTTGTATGTAAGATTTTTTTCTTTATTGCAATAATTTTATTAATGACCTCAATATAAGAGAAAAATATCTTAAATTTTACGAGCAAGAAAAACGAAATTCAAGTATTGGTTTGGATGAAAAATATTATACTTCACCTTTGAAAGGATAGAGAGAAAAAAAATCCTTATCTTAAAAAAGAAACTCTCACCAAAAAAATATTACATAAGGGGAATCCCTTTCCCATTCAAAATGTGAGGGGTATTGTTTCTCAACCCTTAAAGATTAAGGGGGTAAAGTAAATTTTACTCTAATAATAACACAATCATTTATCCAAGTAAAAGTGAAAAAGTTAAGGTTCTACAAATGTAATGTGATCATGAAGATGGACCAAATTCTGTTAATAAATGCATGGTGATTCCACAGTAACAAAATCTATTCCGTAGAAAATTGCATCACTAGATTAATATTTGCCATCGATTTCCATTATTTTTCAGTCTGTTAGTTTAATCTTGTTCTAAATTGAAAATTTTGCATCTCTAAAAATGCATCTACTAGTGTGCAAATCTGGCCAGAAAACAATATATCTTGACCTAAATACATCTTAGGTAGCAAAGTAAAAATTTTGAATTTTTGGATGTATGATCAATAATATTAGAAGATAGAATGCACCGAAAAGTAGGGAAAATATTTTCTTGCATTTACATTCCAGAAAAAGGAAAAAACGATAGCACGGAACAATTAAAAGACGAAAAAATCTTCAACTGAATTAAAGGTGATATTTTTTATTTATTAAGGATGTAAACAGACTTCCAATTTTAAATCTTGGGGGAATGTGTTGGATAAATGGTGATCCTAAACATCGTAAATTCCATACCAGGTCATCTCAATATTACTCTACGCTCCAACTTCATTAAAGGGAAACTTTTACACTTTCCAAACGGTCTGCACAGGTTTTGACCAAAATTTATTAGTGTGCTTCTCACAAGAGTAAAAAAACTTCTGTTCCCCTGTCTCACGAACAAAACATTGAAAGCAAAAGGATTGTAGTGGAATGGATAGGATCCCTTCACCCTCACCTTTAATCAGAGGTGTCAAATTCAAGCCATGGGAATGAAAAGAAATCCTGATAGAAAGCACTCCCCCCTTTAATGAACCTTCCACGGCACGAATCTAGGTACCCCAATCTGAGTGGGACCCTAATGTGAGTATTGGACACTGTGGAAGACCAAAAAGAAAACAAAAATAATTTTCTCGACCTCAATTCCTTCCCTGGACAGGTAAGGTAGTTAGAAATGCATATGAAATATATAAGCAACGGGGCTGCTAATCTTATCACTATCACACACATAAATTATACAGACTAAAACTCCGAGACATCTAATGAAGAACATATTTATTAAATGAACCCCACAAATCTACAAAATTTGCCAATTCATCCCCTTCTTTAACAAAACTCATTAATCAGAAAGCATCATATTCTGCCTTCTTAGCCTCAAAATCACAGATCAGTTTGATCCATGAGCAGTATTTTATCCCGATTGAAGGGTACAACAAGCAAAAATACTTGCATGGGCTCTATAAAAGAGTAAGATAGGAGTAGAAGAAAAAGAAAAATCCTACAGTTAGAAAAGATTAGGACGAAGAATCAGTTTCGGTGTTGCAGGCTCTTAAACAAGAGGATTCCCAGGCCACCAACTGCTAATGTTAAGATGAGAGGTATTCTGATAGGATCCATATCAATTCTGTCTCTTTTATTATTTGTTCTTCGTTGTCGAGACTGTTCATCTAATCTCTCGCGAAGAACGTTGCTAATGTTGTCCAACTGATGAATAACTTGACGCTGTCCACGTGCAATATTTGATATCTGTACAAAAAGGGATTTGTAAAAGAACAAAAGCCAAGAAGTTAAGATATGTTAGGCAACAAATTCAATGTACAGTAATAAGGAAATATTCATCTGATACTGTTTTATTGAAGTATTCATCTGATAATAAATTAATTATCTTCTGTAACAGTTAGAAGGAGTAACCCTTTGACATCTAGAAAAAGGTAAATTCACATTTTTGTCCTTTATCTTTTTGAAAGATAATCTTTTCGATTCGGGTAACAAAAGAACTCTCAAGTCCTCACCCATATATAAGGGACTAAATCTACTACAAAGTGCAATCTGTCCGACCCCCGACCCCCGAATCACATTGAGCCAATTGGATTCAGCTGAATTGCTTTGGTTGAAAAAATTTACTATTTGATGCTATCTCCCCTTTTACTGGAAATTGTAGCTCCCTGATTGTTATTATTTGATGCTACTTTTTCTCCTCTTTTTCCTTATCGTCTTTTGTCTCCCTTTTCTTTCTTTCTCCCCACC